TACTTTGTTGATATCAAGCATTTGAGATAAGATTCTGTCTAAGAACTTTTGTATGGTTTTACATGGAAATCTCTAGCCAAAAAGAGGAGAAATTGTTGCACTCAAATATCTGTAGGTGTTGCAATCAGCCAGGAATCCTTGAGCTTTTGTAGAAGTACTTATGGGAATTTCTTTTTCCCTGATAGGTCTGCACCTTGTACAATGAATAACTACTAAGACAACAATATGCAATGTTTTTTTTTTTTTTTTTTTTTCGTGAGATGTTTTTAAGAGACATTGTAAATGTTGCTTGAGTGGTTTTCTCTCATTAGATAGTTTGACCTATGTCATAGAAATGAAAGTAAATGAGCAGAATGGGAAACAAGCTGTCCCCACTGGCCTAGCAATAGGGTAGCTAGGAGATCTCTAGGCAATCCCAAGAGTGAAGAAAACTGCCTCTCTTGGTTTTTTTTCTCTTGTTGCTGGGACCAAATACCCGACACCCAAAATGAAAGAGGAAAAGGTTAATTTAGCTCAGTTTGTGGAGGTTTTAGTGCATACTCAGCTGGCCCTAAGGCAGAGTGGAACATGGCAGAAGACAGCAAAACAGTGAGAGCCAAAGGGAGGAGTTGGGGGGGGGGGCTGCCCATCAGCACAGTTCTTTAAGTGACTGCTTAAACACAGCAGTCAGGCTCAGGTTGTTGTGGTTCATCCCCAGATCCTCAAGTCACAGTAAAATGCCCTGAAGGCATCCTGAACCATCAAAAACAAAACAAAACCAAAACCAAAACCCTTCTAAACTTTTGGGGCTAGGGAGATGGCTCAGTGGAATAAGTGCTTCTCTGGTAAGCACTAAGGGCCTGAGTTCAATCCTGGGTTCCGAAAAACAACAACAACAACAACAACAACAACAACAACAACAACAACAACAACATAAAGGGAGGAGTAGCGGCAGCAATGAGGATCTCTCCTTTCCTTGTATTGCCTTCAGGCTGTCTGGCCCAGGGCGAGTATGGCACTCACACCCCTGATTTGAGCAGTACTCAGACCCATAATCCCAGCTTTAGATCATGAATTAATCACACACTCCAGAACCTCGCCTCAATGACTGCATGAGGCTTTGGGGGACAACATGCCACTGCCCCCACTCAGAAGGCAGCTGGACAGTCACAGCCTCTGCTTTGCAAAGTCCTAGGCTGCAGGTCTGCCACGACATTCCAGGCCATTTGGCGGAACTTGAGTCTCCCTTACTGAGCCAACGTGAGGAGTTGGATGTCCTGGTTCCTCTAGGCCGTGGGGTCCTGGTCGTCTGCGTGATGTGTAGCTGCAGGTTGTGCCCTGTCCACAGTTTTGTGCATCCCAGCGCTGCCTTGCTGTGTCTTTGCTTCTTCCATGAGTTTGTGTTCCGTTTGGGGCATTGCTGGTCGCAGTGTGCAGAGGATGAAGACTACACCGAAACCTCAGCTAGCAAATTTGTAAGAACTGAAGATATTTTCCCCAAAAGAAATGATGGAAAACCAAATAATTGGGTCTGAGGCTCCAAAATTACACTGTAAGTTCAGCTTCCAGGACTTGAACAAAATTTGCTGTGGTTTAATTCTTTAACTGTGTTGGTCTCACAGTTTTCCTCTTAGTTTTCCTGCTAGTATCAGTAGGTTTCTTCTGAGGTATGGTTATGATGTTTTATGCAAATAAAGCACAAAGAAAAAGCACAGTGATAAGTATTTTAGTGCACTAACGCGAGCAGCCTGTGTCATCTGGGTGAGAGCCGCGCTTAGGCCTCCGTGTCCATGGTGGGAAGCGATGTGTGACTTGCTCTTGGCTCAGATAGGTTTCTTCATGTCACATTTTTGGTTCAACTCTCAAGGAAAGTTATGTACACTGAGCAGAGTTTTTTGGACTTTGCTGTGTGTATATTGGAAAGTTTAAGCCTGGAGCTATTTGACAACTGAGGTATTGCTATAATCAAAAGTGAGACTTAATTCAGTCACTGTGAAACCCAGAGGGGCAGCTTCTTTTAATGAGAAAGCTTCAGGAAGCTGGAGCTGCTGAGACCTCCGTGGTTAGTTAGTTATAACTGAAGGACACACGAACAAAGGTATAGAAGAAAGGCCCTGGCCACATTTGTGTAGGAATTTTAGTCAGGGGACAGGGAAGGAATGGGTGGTTTGTTACATGATTGTCAACCCAGTTGAAGCAGTCTTACCAGGCAGAGGGGACACAGTGGCCAGCCGAACGTCTCTGAGAATAACTACTGTTGATTCTGCCGACTGTTGTCCTGCATCTCTGCTCTGAACTTAACCGTGCACTCCGGGGGCCGGTGGACCTGCCTTTTCCCATTCATGTCAAGCATGCCTTTGGCCAGAGGCTCCCCACAAGTTGTGTTGCATGGAAGATGACTTACTCAATTAAAGGGTAGCTTGCTGTGGCATAGAAGGGAAGCTCTGTCTGTATTATGTAATGCAGTTCCTTGTGGCTTTGCTTCTTCTGTGTCCTTGGACTTAATTGTACTTGTCCTTGGAGACTGGCTTTTCTTCTCATTCTCCAACTTTGTTTAAAAGCATTGGAAAGGAAATTTTCAGATACATATACAACATAAGGAAAAGCCATCTTGTTTAATTTTCCCAGTTTCTGTGAATCCAAGTTATTGGCTACTCACTGAATGCTTTTTTCCTCCTTTTGCTCTGTAGAGACCTTTTTTGCAAGGTTAATTTTCTTACCATTTGCAAATGACCCTGCGGGATGTATTTAGTGATAATATTGATTGTAGTTTGTAAAAGGGATGCTTTTCTTTATTTTTAATCTCAAATACAATTGAGATTCTGCTGAGATGGTGACTGATCCAACTGTTATGCGATAACATCTTTTACCTCTTCCCTTTGTGCTTCCACTAAAGGTATATTCTCCTTTTTTCTGCTCATACTTTTCCTATTGCTTTTCTCATTTATTTCTTTGAAAAGAGCTCTTTGTTGTCTTTTTCAGAGATGCTTAGTTAAGTGTGCTCCTTTCTTATGCTCAGAGAACAAGGGTTACTGTCTTGGGCTGCGCTGGCAGGTGCGGCCCCCTGGCTGGCTGCAGCTGCTGAGGGCAGTGGTCCTGGTGGACATGGAGGACAGGTCCACCTTGGTGTCCTGCACTCCTGCCATCTCTGCAGGAGGTTTGTCTGAAATGACACATGCTTTTGCCTTCCCCCTGTTTAGGACATGATTACCAAAATATGAAATATTAGAAGATGAGAAATTCATGGAGGGCTGGGGAGATGGCTCAGTAGAATAAGTGCTTGCCTGGCAAGTACGAGGGCCTGAGTTCAATCCCTGGTTCTGCAAAAAAAAAAAAAAAAAAAAAAAAAAAAAAAAAAAAAAATTCTACAAAGCTGAAGTAGATTCATTGTCTTAAAATTTTTATGCACTTATTTTTAAGTTTATTCTTAAAAAGTCACCCTTAGGATAACAGTTTTGAGAGGTTTCATTCATTTTAAGATATCTTCCTTTTTATTTTCGATAAATGGAACCATTGAGGCAGGCTTTTTTTATTCTGGACTCTTTTTTTCCCCTCCCATCCCTTGTGGACGCAGCCAAGAGCTAGTAATGTTTTGGTCAGCCACATAAATGATGGTGATCCCTCGGTCACCTGGTGGGAGGGGAGCCATCCTGTTTTATGAAGGGACACAGTGTTAATGCACCTTACCTGCATGACACATTTCTCAGAACATTGTCCAGGTTGTCAAGTGCTGTGTGACTGTAGCTCTATCATATGGCAAGTAGAAGGTAAGAGTACCTTTATGTAAAATATTAGAGGCCTTTGATACACAATACTTATAACTATGTAAATTTGGGCCTTTTCCCTTTCTTTTACAGAGTCCAGTTAACAATGTGTCTTCGTGTCATCATTAAACATGACTTCCCTGGCCACTGGCCAGCAGTGGTTGACAAGATAGACTACTACTTGCAGTCACAGAACAGTGGGAGCTGGCTCGGCAGTTTATTATGTCTGTATCAACTGGTGAAGACTTACGAGTAAGTGACTTTGGAAGTAAGTTGTGTAGAGGGCTCCTTTGTGGGTGGTCTGCAGGACCAGGTGAGCTTGGAAAAGGTGGCATTAAACACAGTTAAACATGTCTACTTACTGTGTTTATTTCTTTTTCTATGGTGTGTGTGTGTGTGCATGTGTGCACACGCCCATGTTTTAGAGGATTGAACTTGGGGCCTTGCGTGTGGGAGGCAGGTGGTCTGCCGCTGAGCTATATGCCCAGACCATTAGACTGCAATTCTTCGAAGAAGCTTGAACTTTCTAGTGCACATTGCTGACTTCCAAGACAGTGCTGTGCAGTGCTGCTCCGATTTGTTAGTTTCAGAGCATCATTTAGTGACCGCTTACATTTAGTGAAGCTATGATGCAGACGTAGCTAAACGTTAGATTGGAAGTAAATCAAAGCAGGGAGCTTTCTGGACGCAAGACAGGAAATGTTTCTTTGTTAGTGATCTTTTCTATAAGCGTTTGGGAGGTGCAGGACTAGGATCACATTTACTCATATTTTTTGGTTTCTCAAGAAGATTGCTACCTTTGCATATAGAACGCATATAGTAGTTTTTTCTCTATTGAATTGTTCATATTCTTTTTGTAGAATTTTTGGAGAACGTTTTAGATGTAGAGCAATTAAAGTGATCTAAGAGTACTTGACATAGGGCAATGTAAGAAAACTCTCTCCACATTACTTGCTATGTACCATGAGTGTCCATTTAAAGTAGTGTATCACGCAGGGGTCAGAGGTTCGATACCTGGCCTGCCATGCGAGCCCTGCCCCTGGGGAGCGCTGAGATGGTGAATGAGACTGGGTGTGGTGGCGTGTGCCTATAATCCCAGCATTTGGGAAGCTGAAAACAGGAGAATCACTACAAGTCAGATCTTTGTAGTGAAACCCCGTAGACCCTGTAAACCCTGCACTAAATACAACAAAACAAAACACTAGTGTGTTAGAGCTGAACTGTAATCCCAGCACTTGGGAGGCTGAAGCAGGAGGATTGCTGTGAGTTTGAAGCCAGCCTCGGCTATGTGGCAAGATTCTGTCTCAAAAAACCCAAAAAATAAAAACCAAAAACCTAGCATGTCAGCTTGTATTTTACAGAAAAATTGTGGCTTGATGAAAATTAAATACTAGTCAAGTTTACCTAAGAAATCTATAGAACAGTCCTGAGTTCTTTTAAACTATTCTTTCTAGAAAGCTTTTAGGTAGCTTGCCTACAACAAGGAGATGTGCCCTTAGAACTCTCAGCTTCCAGCGCTCCAGACAGGACTGTAAACCAGTGCTTGGCTTTGTTGTTATTTGTTTGTTGGTTTTAATTAAGAAATATTTTTCAGTCAGTATTTGTGGATCTTTGGGGAAGAGGGAGAAATTATTCTTCCTTTGTCTTCCTCATGTAGGTATAAAAAAGCAGAAGAGAGAGAGCCGTTGATCGCAGCTATGCAGGTGTTCCTGCCGTGTGTCCAGCAGCAGATCATGCAGCTCCTTCCCGACGCCTCCCACTACTCCGTGTTGCTCCAGAAGCAGATCCTGAAGATCTTCTATGCGCTCGTGCAGGTGGGCTCTAGTCCAGACAGTCCGGGCCTTGCGTTTGACATGCTGAAAGGACTCAGTACTGGTCAGTTACTATTATAAATGATGATATCTTTTCATAGCTCTTTCTTTTAAAAAGCTTCATGAGGATGTACAACAGTGAATTGTTCAGTCTTCCAGGTGGCAGAGGGGAGCTTCAGTGTCCTTGGTGTCTCCTCGCTGCAGAGGTCTCGGGGAGACATGAACCAGGATATTCCTTGACTTGAAACCTGGCCTGGCTTGCCTGTTCAGAGCATCCTTGTCTTCAGGCTGTGTAGCTAGTGGTGCGACAGCTAACTGTGGCTTAGGAAAGTACACTCATTACACAACCTCATGATGGCACACATTGGAGGAGAGAAAGAAGAGGTGTCTCACTTTTATCGGGCCGTCATATAGATAACAGCTTCTCCTCCTTCCAGCCTACCTAAACCTAAGCTTAGTGTCTTATTTTTATTATTTTTAATTTTTTTATTTTTTGCTCTGAATGCATTCAGGGCAGGTTTGGCTGGCTTGAGTTGTGGGGATCGAACCACAGCAACCTGAGCCTGACTGCTTTGTTGAAGCAGCCACTTAAAGAACTGAGCTATGGGCTAGGCCCCCAGTGTCTTATTTCCATTCATTAAAATATCACCTTTTATCTTACCTGAAAACTATGAAGGCTACTAAAATGGGAATTGAAAAACTACTTAGAAGATGGAGATAATGTGTTTGGAAACAAAAATATTTAACGTTGAATCCTTAAAGGACTTGGTGAATCATTTGGGTCTGAGTGGAGGAAAGGTCACTGGTTGTCACCCTAAACTATTTGATAATGAGTATATCAGAACTCACATGTTTTTCTATTTAAATTCCTTTTGCCAAAAGGATGATAGTTTTATTCAGCTAGCAAGTTGAGGACAGTTACATCTGTTCTTTGGCTTCACTGAGGTACCTTTGCACTGTTCCAAAATATTTCACATCAGTACAGATTTATAGTTTTATTAACATCTCATCTTTTAATAGAGATAATATAAACAGTAATTTTTTCAAGTTAGCCTTTTTGAGGGAAGAGGGAAGGAGGCAAATCTGAGTGAAGAAAGTAGAATACTAGGAAAATATATTACTCCATCTTTTTTTAAGTAAGGAATTTATGTTGTTCCTTTATTAGAGTGATGTTTAGAAATCGTCCTCCAGAAGATCACTTTACTCTGAGGCCAAGCTTTGATTCACTGAGCTGCTGTGCTGTGTGGTACAGAAATGTTCCCCTTCTTCAGGGCCAGACTCGCCTTGCCTCTGGGGAGAAGCATAGCTGCGAGTCAGGCAATAAGGCAAAGCCTGAGGAAGTAACTTTTCTGAAGTCTCTTCTACTACTTGATCTGCTAAGAAGCCAAAATCTAAAGGTTTTCTTTTTAACCTGTTGTATGCTAAAAACCAATAAAAACCCAGGAAAACCCCACAGCATATTAAACCATTTTGCTGATCTGTTATTTACTAATCCTCTGGAAGTAATAATTTAAAAGGCTCTGAGAGACTCAATTACAGTGAGTGTAAGTAACATATGCAGCCATATAGGAAGAGATGGAGGAACTGCTATTAAAAGTCTGGAAAGTGAGATTGAGTCTGTTATGTAGCATTTATCCATACATGGCTCTAGATATCTTATACTTATCTCAGAAATTGCTGCTTTCTGTCTGACTTAGCCAGCTCCTGCGCTGACCTCACCTCGAGTTCAGATGCTCCTGGTGGGGCCCTTAGATGGGCTGTGCTGCGCAGCCCTCACCCTTGGCCTCCACCTGTAGGCGTCACCATTCCTTCCTTGTGCTTCTGTGTGGCTTCTCTTCCGGCCAGGGTGTAAGCCTTGTAAGGGTACCGACTGTCCTACAGTTAGGTCTCCGGCCATGGCCTGAGTGGGTGTGGGGCCCTGGCTCCTCTTGTCGCCTGCAGCTGTGGGTGGCGCTGGCTGCTGAGTGCAAAGTGTGCTGTACTTGTAGTGCCACTGGGCAGAACAGAGGAGTTGAGAAAAGTCTCATAAGGGTATATGCAAGGGAGGGCTTCATCAAAGTGGTTAAACCAAGCAGTTTGATATAGAAGAGTAAACTACCACAATATGCAGAATAAAGGGAATTTAATTAAAAATATTTTTCATTTAAAAAGTAATTCAAAGAAACAAACTGTAGCACACATATTTAAGTTTTAAAAGTTAAAATATATATGCTTACAGATTTAAGTTAAACAATGAAGTTATTATCTTCATGCTCAAATGTTGGTTATTTAACAGTCTAGTATAGATAAAATCATGGAGTTCATGGAAAGCAGGAAGATCGCTTACACTGTTGCTCTGCTTTGCAGTACGCCTTGCCTCTTCAGCTGGTGAATAACCAAACAATGACGACGTGGATGGAGATCTTCCGAACCATCATCGACCGCAGGGTGCCCCCTGTAAGGCGGGTTTCTGTTCTTCAGCAGGAGCGGGCACTTGGGTTTGGCCCTTCTAAGAGCCTCACGTGTGGTCAGCAGGCACTGTACTACCAAGCTGGCGGTGACAAATGACTTCTAACTTTTAACAAAATTAATTGATAAAATAATCATAGTACTGTACTCATTTTCAGTAAGCTTAGATAAGCAAAGTAAAGATAATGACTATACTAAATGAAAAAAAATTCCTAGATGTTTTTCTATGCATTTATAATACATTATTTGTCTGGAGGGTTAACAACCTAAGTTTGCAGACCAAAATTAGAGAAAAAAGAGGGCTGCAAGGAAAGCCAACATTTTGGCCCTATCCTTCTAAGGTCAATTAAGACTCAGGACATATGAGAACTTGTACTGTAACACGTCATGTAACTCAGTAGTGTCCCAAATTTTCTGATCAAGGAGATTATGGGGCCAAAGAGGAAAGTGATTGATGATGTGGAGTGTGCCTAGGGAGAGTCACATGGAGTGAAAACATTCTCTCAGGCTTTCACAGAGAGCACATTAGCCAAGTAATGGCCGTGACTCATCCTCATGGGTGACACTGACAAAGGTTCTACAATCTGAGGTACAGGATCTCAGGATAAATCCTGAGGGGATTTCACTGACCTTATCAGACCCAAAAGCTACAACTCTTGTTGCATAGGTCTTGCTTTACCTTGGTCTTAACCATCCAGCAGAAAAGTATAAAAACGAAGTAGAAGAAGTAAAGCCATGGTGTTATGTTGAGCTGTAGTGGACTCAGGTCAACAATTTCTGACATTGCCAGTGAAGGGGAAGACCCAATGCTATTATGGACTACTGGACTCTTTTAGAATATTTTGCTGAGTTTACACACCTATAATATTTAAATGATGGAACTTTAAAAAAAAGGGATACAGATGAATGTCCATTTTGTATCTGTGTATTCAAAGTGGTTAGGATATATAGTTACATTCTCTTAATTAAAAGAGTGATCTAATGGTGTTTGTAAATAGGATATCATGTCCGCATCTTGTACAGCAATTAACCACTAGGAAGAATGTATGCAATGTGTGAATTATTGAAACTGTCCTACCAGTTTGATTTGAAACTCTCATTGCTATTTGTTTATCAGTAAAATTATGGGAAAAAATAATACATTATTTGTAAAAACCAATACCTATAGGGCTGGTAAGATAGTTCAGCGGACTAAGTGCCTGCTTAGGTAAGTCCAGGGACCAGGGTTCAATCCCTGGTCCCACAGGCTGTGCTGGCCCCACCCCGGGGTGCACCGAGTCTGGGTGTGGTGGCGCACGCCTGTAATAGTGCTGGGTAGGCTGAAAACAGGATCACTATGAGTCTGAGCTGCGTAGTGAGACCCTCTAGCAAATCCATACACAAACAAAACAGTACCTGTATATATAGTACATAGATATCTTGAAGTTGATGTTTCATCTGAGATTTAATATAAACATTTTTATATTTTTATACATTGTCATTTTTGTGAGATGCTTCATTTGCTGGATGTTTAGGTTATTTTTAGTGTTTTTTTTTTTTTTTTTGCGGAACCGGGGATTGAACTCAGGCCCTTGCGCTTGCCAGCGAGGCACTTATTCTAATGAGCCATGTCTCCTGCCCCTGTTTTTAGTTCTTAAGGGTTTTAGCTCTAGGAATGTATGTACATTGTTGTGCAAATACATATTACTGTATTTTCTTAGGGTGAATGCCTAGAAGTATAATAAGCAGTGATGCAAGCTGCTGTCATAAGTGCACACTTAATTCTAGGTTTTCCTGTTTCATAGGTAAAAGGTAGTTTCTCAGGCCGGGGAGAAGGCTCAATAGAATAAGCACTTGCCTGGCAAGCACAAGGGCCTGAGTTCAATCCCTGGTTCCATGAAAAAAAAAAAAAAAAAGATAGTTTCTCATTTTTATCTGCAATAACAATGATACTGTTTTTCATTTATTAATTTATATACAAAGGATTGAAGAAAAGTGAAGCTTACATTAAAGTATGAGGTAAGACACTTTACCATTAGTCTCCCTCAGAATTCCCCAGTGGCTTTGAGTGTGTCTGTCCCATCATTCTTGCCATTTCTGAGCACCTCCAGAAGTCCACGTTTGTGTCTCTGTGAGATCCGATGACTATGGAGGATGCTGCTGCTGAGGGCCGCCCAGCAGGAGGGAGCGCTGTACAAATGCCAGTGTCCTGGCCTGCTCACTCCCTGGATCTGGCACCACGCAGCTTCTCACTGTCCCCCAAAGTCAATGTGGCCATGGATGGAAAATGTGTTGAGTCAGGTCAGGACATCAGGGCAGCCATGACAGCACAGCTGGAGGACGTCCCTGAAGAGGACTTGTGGAGTGTGTCAGCAAGTGGCAAGAATGATTGAATGAGGATGTCTGAAGTGGTGGAGGGGCGTTTTCTGGGGACGATTATTGGTGATGTGCCTTTTACACATCCTAAGAGATTTGAACATTCCCTGTGTTTCTCATTTGTACTTCATATTTTAAAATTTAAGCCAGTCTTAGAAGGCATAGTCTTAATTTTTTTTTTGCTGAACCAGGGATTGAATTCAAGCCCTTGTGCTTGCCAGGGAAGCACTTATTCCACTGAGCCATCTCCCCGGCCCCAGATGGAACAGTTTTTTTCCTTCATTTTGAAACTAGGGATTGAACCCAGGGCCAGGCACATACTCTACTACAGAGTTACATTGTGGCTATTCTTTTTTTAAATGTATTTAGTACAGGGTCTCACTATACAGACTGGACTCCTGTTTTTCAGCCTCCCAAAGTGCTGGTATTACAGGCCTGCACCACCACGCCCAGTCTCAGTGGCCCTCTCAGTGTGCCCTGGGGGTGGTGCTGGCACGGCATGCTGGGGGTTGGGCTCTCTGCTGCGCGCTGCCTAAGCGGATGCTTTAGTCTGCTGAGCTATCTGGCCAGCCCATTGTGGCTATTCTTTTTTTTGGTGGAACTTGGGATTGAATTTAGGCCCTTTGTGGCTCCTCTTGACACAGAGTATTTAGAGGTTTAACATATGTACATAAATGCACAAAGTTTGGCAAATGGTTGTGAATAACATTAGATTATCAGTACCTACATCACAAGTAGAACTATTTCATCACATCAAGGAATTTCATCAAGGTGTTTGTATTTTGTTTTCTACTTGTTTGATCCTTTTGAAGATAGGTAGATATGAACAGCAGCAGTGCTTGAGATTGGCTACACGGCATCTATGCAGCGAGAATTGGCATTTGCACAGCCATCTAGCTTTACATTTAATAGGACTCCATCTGTCCTGAGATTTATTCTACTTTTGTTATTCACATAAATCGTTTTTGTGTAGAGATTTAATCTGGTGCTTTTCATTGTGTAAGGAAACGCTGCAGATCGATGAGGATGACAGACCAGAACTGGTGTGGTGGAAGTGTAAGAAGTGGGCGCTGCACATTGTAGCTCGCCTTTTTGAGCGGTAAGTCCCTATTTATTGTATTGTAGTTGGTAGCTCGGGATTATAGATGATGAAATTGAATCCTTCCTTGCTGTACTGCGGTATATGTGTTTGCCCATAGAGGGCAAAGAGTCACCGTTTAAAGTGGCTTACTTGGGATCACTGATTTTGAGATGATGATGAGGCAGGCAGCTTTCTGTCTTTTCTGGACAACGTTATTCAGGCCTTTGGAAATATCCAGAAATTATGCAAGAAGGTGCAAAGCCACTAGCTCCTTAAGAAAATTTAATTTTAAGAGTTTTATTGAAAGAAATCTTTTCCATGTCAGACAGAGCATTTTTCTTCTTAATATTGGTCTTTTAGGGCCTTTTGGTGTAGAAAGCAAATGCTTTTGTGTGAATGTATAAGTTTATCTTGGTCCTGAGTCCATAAATGCAGGACCATCAGGGTAGCTCCCTGTGATTTCATTTCGTAGCTTTGAAGGATTTTTTTTTTGGCTGGCTCAGGCTGCCTTAAGGGCAGATGTGGTGTGGATGTGGAGCTGGGGATCGAACTGCTGTCCCCTGTGCCTGACTGAGTGTGCCCAAGCAAGGGCTTTAAACAACTGAGCTAACCAGCAAGGACCTTATTTTGTGGCTTTGAAAAAGGGGAAAATGTTAGTTTTCTACCCCAGTAGAATATGTCTTTTAATGATTTATTTAAATAAATTAGCATATTTTATTTTAAAATTTCACATTTTAAATATTTTATCTTTAAATTTTAAGGTATGGAAGCCCAGGAAATGTCACAAAAGAATACTTTGAATTTTCTGAATTCTTTTTGAAAACCTATGCAGTGGGAATTCAGCAGGTAATAAATGTATGCTTTTGTTTAAGCCATCACTTAAACAGATGAGCTAATGGGCAGGCCCCCTAGCATGCTTTTGGAAGAGGATGAGTATTACTGAGAGGAAGTTAAAACTTTCTGTGTTGTTTAGAGTAGCTCATGATCACATTACCCCATTACACATTTGTACATTCCATTTCAGCTCTGGTGGCTCTGGGAACCAGTACAGTGTGCTTCCTTTTAGCATTCAGTGTTGCAGGGCAGCTGCCACCAGAACTGCCCATCCTGACTGCTAGCTTGTGGATGCAAACCTTTTCTAGGGGGAGCAGGGGTTGAGCCAGGATCTCACTATGTAGTGCAGGCTAGGCTTAGTCTTTCTTGTGTAGGCCAGCTGGCTTTGAACTTGTGGCAGTCCTGCCTCAGCCTCCTGATTGCATAAGCTGCTATCTCTGGTCTAAAACTTTTAAGTTGCAAAAATGGGTGTTATATTAGATTGGGTTCTTCTGTTAATGCTGACCTCTAACAAGTTGTTGTTGTTGTTATTATTATTATTATTATTATTATTATTATTATTATTATTATTTTTGGGGCTGGGGAGATGGCTCAGTGGAATAAGTGCTTCCCTGGCAAGTACAAGGGCCTGGGTTCAATCCCTGGTTCCGTAAAAAAAAAAAAAATTATTTTTGTGTATGTGTGCAGGGTCTCACTATGCAGTTCAGACTTGTAGTGAGCCTCCTGTTTTCTGCCTCCCTAATGCTGGGATTACAGGTGTGCGCCACCATGCCTGGACTCCGTTGTCAGCTCAGCGTGCCCAGGGGCGAGGCTGGTGTGGCATGCAATGCCAGGGATTGAAACCTGGCCCCTGCGCTTATGTTTTTTTAAAATTAATTTTATTGAGAAACAAATAGTAATGAGACAGTTTCAAAACAGGATAGTAGGACAGTTACAATAATTAATATATTGCATATTGTTGTCTTCCTAGTAGTTATTCATAGTACAAGATGCAGACATGATATCCTGTCCAAACACTATTAGTACAGATCTTCTCATCGAATTAAGAGAAAGTAGCTGTATATTTATCCTATTTTGTATATACAGATACACAATGGTCCTTCATTTATATCCCCGTTTCTCTTTAGTTTTGTCAGAGATGGGTATTCCATTGCCATTTAAATATTGTAGGTGCGTGAATTCAACAAAATAATCCAATACAGTCCAGTAGTCATAGTGGGTTATCTGTAGGACTGTGCAGACCTCAAAAATCATCTCTGAAATTACTGGGCTCCAGACCTTGTTCCCTGCTCTAGCTGTGCTTTCTACCACCCTCTTTGTTTCCCCCCCCCCCATAATTCTATTGAGAAACAAATAGCAATGAGACAGTTTCAAATCAAATTAGTAGAACAGTTTCAATAATTAACACATTGCATACTGTCTTTCCCTGCGCTTACCTAAGCAAGTGCTTAGTTTGCTGAGCTATCTTGCCGATCCTTAACAAGTTGTTTTTAAACAGTTTTTTTTCTTTGAGTTTCCCTTCTCTCTCTCCCCTGTCCTTCCCCTTCCCTCCCCCCTTGCTATGGATAGACTCTTAAGGGTTGTGCTTGCTGTGTTACTGAGCTGCATAGGTAGCCATGTATGTTTGTATATGTGTATGTATGTATTGTTTTGGTGGCAGGATCTTATCAAGTTGCCCAAGCTGGCCTCAGACTGGGACTGCTGTCTCAGTCTCCAAACAAACTGGGAGCTTCCCTGCTTTGTGTATACTTTTATCTTAAAATATTTATATAACATGAATTAATCTGTTTTAAGAGTAGCTAAGATTAGATGTTCAGACTCTGAACTGAGAATTTATACATCTTAAAATTGCTTATGGTGGCACTGTCCTGTAATCCAGCTACTTGGGAGGCTGAGGCAGGAGTATCACAAATTTGGGCCCAACCTTGTCAACTGTGTGAGGCCCTATTTCAGAATAAAAATAGCTGAAATGTAGCACAGTGATAGCATTCTTGGGTTTTCTACATCCTTATTTTCAGTGATATGAAGTTAAGTACATTCAGCTAGTCTCTTTAGGTGGAATGTTTCTAGTTATAGACTGTCGTTTTGGCCAGTAGAACATGCTAAAAAAAAGTACCATGCTGCAATTCAGGAACTCTACCTATAATTTTTCTTACAATTATTTGGTTGGCCCATAAGACAAATCATTAGGGCAAATTAGTGAATAGTAGATAAAATGATTTGTTTAGCAATTTGTGGTGGATATCAGGATAAGCAGGGAGCCAAAGAGCCCTGCTCTCTACCCTTTCAGCTGTTGTGAAATTCCACTGAGTATCTTAAGGTTGGTGTCCACTCAAAGTGTGTTTGGTAGGATTTTTCTAGTATCAGATAAGCATATATTTAAAAACAAATCTCTTGTGTTTGCATCCTTTTCATCATTTCTTTATACTTGGCTATTAAGGGTGAAGTGTCCTGGTCATTATTATTATTGTCATTATTATTATTATTTTGGTACTGGGGATCAAACTTAGGACCTCTTGCCAACAGGGTCCTTGTTTTTAAAATTAATCTTTCTGTCAAATGAACTTTCTTTGAAAAAAGAAAAGAATTGTCCCTTTCTCCACTGTTGTGTCTCATCTTCAGTTCCCCACTTTGTATGAGCCACAACTGTACCCGGAAGAGTCTTGGTCACTCTTTTTCGTGTCCATTGCAGGAGGAGTTTCTAGGTGGTTGTTGGGCTTTCAGCAAATCCTGTAAACCTGAATGTATGTTCCTTGAATGCACTTCATATTTTGAATTTATGAACTACATAGTTTGAAAGATTTGGCAGCTCTGAGGGAGCGAGTGCTGGAGCCCAGCATGCTTTGGGCTGGGCTGTGGCACGGCTCTGCCCCGTGCGTGCGGGGTTCTCCCTCACACCCTGTTGCTTTAGTGGGCCTGAAAGCGAGCTCTCCACTTCCTGTGTGCTTACAGAGGGCTTCTGTGGTCTGAGGTTATAAAGTAAAATTCTCCAGCAACATTTCCTTCTAAGAACTGTGTGATTTTATTGATGAAATATTTTTTCAATTTGGAGTTTATTTTGGTATGAAGTTTAATTGGGGACCAAACTTACTATTTTTTTCCTGATGGCTAATCAGTTGTGCTAATTCTCTCTTTGTTAAATAACATTTCTCTTCAGTCTGAAAGAATCGTTTTTGTTTTTTGTTTTTTTTTGGTACCAGGGATTGAACTCAGGACCTTGCACTTGCGGGGCAAGCACTTATTCCACTGAGCTATCTCCCCAGCCCATGAAAGAATCTTTTAGATAGAGTTACAAAATCTGTTCTGCCCCTTTCTGTATGGAAGTTTTTAAATGTTTATTCAATCATATCTGTTATTTTTTAAAACCAGAGTCTTACTTTATTTTGGAGAGCTAGAAGTAGAAGTTAGATATTTTCCTGGAAGTTGTGGTAAGATGCTCTTAGTTCAGTACAACACAGACATATGTGAGAATTGATAGTACCATGTGAGCTTTCTCCTGAAATACAAAATCTCCTCAAAATCTGCTAATTTTTATCTCAGTATTGTGGATTTATGTCATGCTTGAAATGTCCCCCACCAGACTTGGTGTGGTGGCGTGTGTCTGTAATCCCAGTGCTTGGGAGGCTGAAAACAGGAGGAGCACTATGAGTCCGATCTGTGTAGTGAGACCTGTAGATCCTGTACTAAATACATTAAAAAAAAAAAAAAAATGTCCCCCATATCTTTTAACCTTAAAATTAGTGTTCTGTCTTTTCTTGTAGGTGCTACTAAAAATTTTAGATCAATATAGACAGAAAGAATACATAGCGCCCCGTGTTCTTCAGCAAGCATTCAACTATCTCAACCAAGGGATCGTGCATTCTGTAACCTGGAAGCAGATGAAGCCGCACATACAGGTAGGGTCAGGCAGTGGCTTCCCAAAGTTAGCCTCCGGTTAAATTGAGTTTGCTAGGTATGCTGCTACCAATCCTGAATTTTGTGCGTAGTGTCGTTTTATTGCCATTAATAACTTCTAAGGAGGGGCTGGAGAGATGGCTCAGTGGTCTAAGGCACCTACTTGGAACAAGCTTGATAAAGCACAGGGACCGCGGTTCGATCCCCCAGCACCACATACCAGCCAGCTGCGCCCCCTGGTGGGCTGAGCTGGCCACACACACACACACACACACACACACACACCCCAAATAAATGTTAATACATAAATTAAAAAAAAAAATTCTTTAATAACTTCTAAGGAGCCCTAAGGAACTGTCTTCTGTGTGCTATAAAAGCCTTGGGAGGGGCCGGGGAGATGGCTCAGTGGAATAAGCGCTTCCCTGGCAAGCGCAAGGGCCTGAGTTCAATCCCCGGTTCTGCCAAAAAAAAAAAAAAAAAAAGAAAAAGCCTTGGGAATTTGAGCATTGAGCAGATCCTCTGAGGGGAGGGTGGCTCCTGTTGGTGACGTCCACGTCTCGTTAGCCTGTGTCTTTTCTGTTAAGCCAAGTAGTATTCTTCTACCCTTCTCAAAAGGTTGCTAGGATTAAATGAAGAATTTCAAAGAACTTTGAAAATTGTCATTGGGGCCTCTTTAAGGTGCTGTTTTGCAGAAAATGATACTGATACATGACTGTTTTCTTCTGTAGGCATGAGCAAAAAAGTTTTTACATTTTTTTTTTTTAGATGGTTAAATTCTGTAGCAGAAATTAAAAATTTTTTAAAACCAACTATTTACTTAAGCATAGAATTTAGTATTGCTCTTTTAAGAAACATGAGAATGGGAAATTAGGGGTCATTAATAAATTATTTATGTGTAAATAACTGAGCAATTCAGAGACATTAAGATCTGAATCTCCCCTTCTAATCCATGAGTCCTTAAATTCTGTGAGATGGTATGTGACAAGAAAATAAATTCTTTCCTTTTGCCTTTGGTGCCCAGGGTAGAGTTTGTCTAGTGTTACCTTATTATAGGTCTTAAAGATACAGTTTTGTTTTGTTTTGTTTTGTTTTTGTACCAGGAATCAAACTTAAGACCTCATGTTTGCTAGGTAGGCACTTGTGCCGCTGAGTTACATCCCTGGCCTCAGATACAGTATTCCTGTATATATATATTTTTGGTTATCTTAATAACTATTTGCCTACTCACTTCAATTGGGTAGTGGTACCGTCTGTGCAGTTAATAAGCTGCCGAGTTCATGTTATTTCCTGTATTCTTATAATAAAATGAGAGTGAATGGTAATAGCCTTTCTTCTCTACTTGCTGCCTGTGGCCTTATTTTTATGTGACTCTGATGCAGGAAGGAGAAAACGACCCTTAGACTTACTTGATTTGTGTAAGTGATGAAAGTTCTTGTTTGCATATAAGCCCATGACCATGGGCGGCCATGTGCCAAAGGGCTCTGGATAGGACTTTTCTTCCTGAAACACTGTTGTAGAGTGAGAAATAGGTTTTTTGAAAGTGGGAAAAGAAAATTTAATTTTAATATCAGTCATGTGTTGGCATTTATAGCCAGTGTGGAAATGTTAAAAATTTTAAAAATAAGGAATCTAATAGTAAGTGTAATTCTGACTTGACATTTTCTTTTTTTTTTTTTTTTTTCCTGGAACTGGGGATTGAACTCAGGCCCTTGTGTTTGCCAGGCAAGCACTTACTCTACTGACCTATCTCCCTGGCCCCTTGACTTGACATTTTCTTCTTTAAGGAAATCAGTGCCTGTTTAAAATTGCTAGCAAAAGTTTATTATCCCCATTATTGCTTCAAAGAATAGTGTTTCCTTCGGTCTCTATCTCTGTGCTTTTAGTCACTTGTGGTTTAAAAACAGCCTTGTGAGCTCTGTAACTCCTAATGCTGGCCCTTCTGGGGCTCTCCCTTTTCTGCTGTCACTTTGGTGAGCCTGGGCTTGAAAGAAACATTAGAATATGCTGCAGGGGCTGTCCTTCCATACCTCAGGGGCAGCCCCCGGGCTCTAGAAGCCTGCACCATATCTTATGTCTTCCGTTTCTCGCCTAGAACATCTCTGAAGATGTGATTTTCTCTGTAATGTGCTATAAAGATGAAGATGAAGAGCTGTGGCAGGAGGATCCCTACGAGTACATCCGGATGAAATTTGGTAATGGAGCTGCTTTGTTTTCTTTGTTCCTTGCTGGGTATGTGAAGTCATGTAACTACATTTATAACTTTAAGCTAGCTTTATTGTCTCACTAAATTTCCAAGGTTTCAAACTACTGAAACTCATGAGGTTAATGTCCTTTTGAACCAAAGAACTTGAGACTTCTGGATGTGGGAAGGAAAAGCCGCCCCCTCCTGTCTCTCCTGGGAGCTGCAGGGACAGACGTGTCGTGTTCATGGGTCCCCAAGAGACTGAGTTGCCCCCCACTCTGGGACTCTTGGGATTTCTGTGTGTTTCAGCAGGGCCCAGTTAAGGTTTCCTAGTTATCCTGTATAGGAACTGTCCACAAGGGAATTTGATTTCTCTTGGTGGCTACACACGGCGTTCTCTAGGGGTCTTGTTAACTTGCAGCTTCCTGGAGCTGTGAACTATGACACGGGCTGTTGGAATCATTTCCTTTTAACCTCAGTCATAGCAAAATGTTCATCTGTGTACTATGTATACAGGCTGTCAGAGGGCAGGGACTTTAATTTATTGGCTTTATTTTGCATTCTTTTTCTTTTCTTTCATCACATTTCTCTTTAGTATGCCTTCAAAAAAGTGTTGAAATGAATGCTTGCTGTAACTATAAGGCACTCCTAAGGCACTGTGGCAGTGCAGTGCTGTCCCCGGGCCTGATGCCCGCAGCTGCCCAAGTTGAGTGCATTGGTGTGGATGCCGACTGCGGGCCAGCGTTGGCCCAGTGCTGTGTGTCAGCTGACTTAGTGAGTAGCCTGCTCTTCTGTGGACAGAAAGTGCAGGAAAGGTGAAGAGTAACAACATTTCCTGAATGCTTTCTTTCTCATTCCACCTTTTTCTTTAGAAAATCATTTCTCATATGCAGAATTTGTTATTTTCCTTTCCTTATGCCTGTTTTGCTAGTTTGCTTTGATAGAGCAGAATGAAGAGCCAAGTTTTTATTTTCTTAAGGCACTATGTTAGTGTTTGTCTTTCTTCCAGTACCTATATTGCTTGCTTAGCTTCCGGGGACCTCCCACTGTTTCATTTACCATAACTGATAATGTAATATCTCAGGTTTTTTTTTTTTTTTTTTTTTTTTTTTTTTATGTATTTGGTACAGGCCTTACTACTCAGCTTGGACTCATAGTGATCCCCCTGTTTTCAGCCTCCCCAACACTGGCATTATAGGTGTACACCACCATGCCTGGACTTGCCTAGACTTGGTAGCTGGCTCAGCATGGTTTGTGCTGGGGATTGAACTCCGGTCCCTGTGCTTGCCAAAGCAGGTGCTTTGTCCAGTGAGCTATCACACCTGCCCTATCTCATTTTTATATTTATTTATTCAGTTTTTTTGGGATAGAGTTTCTCTATATAGTTTAGGCTGTCCCTGAACTCACTGTGTAGTCCAAACTGGCCTTGATGTCACGGTAATCCACCTGCCCCAGCCTCCCAAGTGCTGGGATTACAGATGTGCAGCACCACACTTGGCTCTCAAGTTTTTAAAAATAGAGTAATTGAAAACCGTGTTAGCAGTGGAGATTCACGTTTTATTTATTGGATAAAAGAGAAAATAAATCAAGACTGTCATGTGTTTTTCTTAATCATTTCCTTCTGTGAACTAGAATGGAATAGGCATTGTTTGATGTGTATTTTTTGCTTATGAGTAATTATAGGAAGGAATGACTACTGTATTTTTATATTTTTGTCATTCCCAACTATGTATATGAAGACATATATATTATATATTGATAACATTAATAATACTTTTTTTTTTTTTTTTTTTTGGTGGAACTGGGGATTGAACTCAGGCCCTTGTGCTTGCGAGGGAAGCACTTATTCTATTGAGCCATCTCCCCGGCCCCAATAATACTGTTTGATTTATTCTTTTTATTCTACCTCTGACTAATTTCACCATTTCTTTCAATAGTACCATTTTTCAATTTTTTAAAAACTTTTGACAAGAGTTCAGGTTTTGAACTTAAGTTAGCCTGAATATAAGTAGCTCTGGGCAAGTTATTTAAGCTTTCTCTCAGGAGGTAGTGTGTCAGTATAAAATAGCCAGTGATCGTGAGCCTGGGAGGATTAACTGGGATAATACATTGGAACTAAGGTCAGAATATAAAATCATACTGTAAAATCACATTATAGTGCCTGGTACAGAGTATTCAAAACACAGTCATTAGTTTGAGTCATTACCAAAATAGTAAATGTTTAAATTAAAACAAATTTATTAGAGCAGAAGACACATTAACATTAAACCCCCCGAATACTCTCCCTTGCTTTGAACACTTATCCCGCCTCACTCCCCTTTCTGAAGTCCGTCCGAAAGTCGTCCTTTGTGGGTGCTCACAGTGACACCTGGAGAGTTCGAGTAGCGCCTGTGCACGCCTTTACTGCCGCGATGTCCCGCCGCTGTCAGCTGTGAACCAGCTTGGTGTGGGCTAAGTTGTTCCTTAGTATGAGTGATGGTCAGGCAAGCTTAAAGTCTGAATGATAACTAACTGTGTTTTTACTAACATGGTTTTAACTTTTTACAAACTTAGATATTTTTGAAGATTATGCCTCTCCCACTACAGCTGCCCAGACTCTTCTGTATACTGCTGCAAAGAAAAGGAAAGAGGTACGCAAGCACTCTAATCACAGATGAGAAGGTGACCTGTGTTGGTTTGACATTCTGCATTCTTAGCATTTGAGAAATCATACCGATATTCATTATAGCCTGTTATTTTGAGAATTTTTTTCTATTAAAGGAGACAGGTGAAGTATCATTTATTTTTTTTTTTTAAATACATTGTACCTCTCTTATTGAGCTTATAGTTGCTTAATAAAGCACAGTAAAGTGGCTTTGCTTTTGAAAGTGAATTATTTCATTTGTTTAGGTGTTGCCAAAAATGATGGCATTCTGTTACCAAATCCTCACGGACCCGAACTTTGACCCGAGGAAGAAGGATGGGGCCCTGCATGTGATCGGTTCCTTGGCAGAGATTTTATTGAAGGTTAAGATGATCAAAATTTAACTTACTTAATATGACTGTGAATGCAGTGAGATAGTGAGGTTAAGATTGATAGCCCAAATCGTTTGATAATAACAATAAGCTTTTCTTCTGGATGGTTAACCTAAGTTTGCAGACCAAAATTAGAGAAAAAGGAGGGCTACAAGGAAAGCCAACATTTTGGCCCTAGCCTTCTAAGGTCAATTAAGACTCAGGACATATGAGAACTTGTACTGTAACGTCATGTACTTCAGTAGTGTCCCAAATTTTCTGATCAAGAAGATTATGGGGCCAAAGAGGAAAGTGATCGATGACATAGAGTGGGCCTAAGGAGAGTCACATGGGGAGAAGACACTCTCTCAGGCTTTCACAGAGAGCACATTGGCCAAGCAATGGCCGTGACTCATCCACATGGCTGCACTGATAAAGGTTCTACAATCTGAGGTACAGGATCTCAGGACAAATCCTGAGGGCATTTCACTGACCTTCTCAGACCCAAAAGCTACAACTCTTGTTGCATAGGTCTTGCTTTACCTTGGTCTTAACCATCCAGTAGAAAAGTATGAAGTCGAAATATAAGAAATAAAGCCATGCTGTTAAGTTGATCTGTGGGGGACTCAGGTCAATAATTTCTGACATTGCCAGTTAAACAGAAGACCCAATGTTATTATGGGCTACTGGACTCTTTTAGAATATTTTGCTGAGTTTACACACCTATAATATTCAATAACGGAACGTAGAAAAAATGGGGTATACCGATGAATGTCCATTTTGTATCTGTGTATTCAAAGAGGTTGGGATAGATATATAGTTGCATTCTCTTAATGAATAGAATGATTTGTTCTAATGGTGTTTGTAAATAGGATCACAAGTCCGCATCTTGTACATCAATTAACCACTAAGAAGAATATATGCAGTGTATTATTTGTTGAAACTGTACTTCCGATTTGATTTGAGGATTGATTTTTTTTTTTTTCCCCCGGGACCGGGGATTGAACTCAGGGCCTTTCGCTTGCCACGGAAGCGCTTATTCCAATGAGCCATCTCCCCGGCCCCTTCCGATTTGATTTGAAACTGTCTCATAGCTGTTTATCAATAAAACTTTGAAAAAAAATATGACTGTGAAGCACAGGCAAATTAGAGTATGAAAGTTACGGATAATTTAAAACTGGAGACCACCTCTGGGTGATTTATTGATTTACTCTCCCCTTTTCCTTTAATTGAGATGAAAATTTGACTTCGGTCTGTCAGTTTTTCAGTATGAAACTAGTGCTGTATAAAAAGGATACAAAATGACATTAGTGTTTTTATTTCTACAAAAATAATTATCAAATTAATCTAAGGTATTTTGTATGGTTTTAAAACGTGTAATATGTAAATCAAACTAAAGAATTGTAAGTAGAAGTATGTTAAGTGGAAATCTTTATTAGGAACTGATTCTTACATATGAGAACCCATTGATAAGCTAAAATTTCTGTTTCCTAACAGAAGAGTTTATTCAAGGACCAAATTGAATTATTTCTACAGAATCATGTATTTCCCCTCTTGCTGTCTAACCTGGGATATCTTCGAGCTAGAGTAAGTTTTCTATGTATCTGTGCATCTTTAAGCCTTGGTCTCTGACGTAGTTATGGCCATGGATATATCTTCTGTACGTGTGACATTGTTACAGAATGTTGTAATCCCAGTAGCTCCCTACTTGCTTTCTCTCATAGTCCTGCTGGGTGCTTCACGCATTTAGTTCTTTGAAGTTTCATAATGAGCTCAACCTAAGAAATGCAGTGGAATTGGCAAAGAAGAGCCTGATAGAGGATAAGGAGATGCCTGTCAAAGTTGAAGCTGCCCTTGCCCTCCAGTCATTAATTTCTAACCAGATACAAGGTAAAACCAAAACACTACTTAGGGGGTTGATTTTTCTTATATTTTGGGATGATCTTCTTCATTGTATTCCCTGAGGAAGGTAGGTGTTTACTGCCTTAGAATTTCATAAGGGTTTATTTTTGCCCTTTTTAGGAGTTTCTATTGATTGTAGCTTCCAGAAAAAAGTTGAGATTAGAAAATAAGTGACTGGTGACTGGCTAGAATCCCAAGCGCTGAGTCCACCTGTGACTCTTTGCTTTGCCATGTTAGGTCTGGTCCAGGATGTGGTCTGTATTAAAATTTAGGAGGTTGACTAGGTAGCTTCAAGGTGCCTTTCAACTCTAGGATGCTGTACTTCTACCAGTTCTGAAAGTAGCGATTTATCTAAAGACTAACATCATAAGTGACTCATTTGTTTGCTTAAAAGAAGGTTCAGTTTTCAAAGATCAGTTCAATCTTTGCCGATAAATCCAGCTTTATGAAGAACATGAACCTTGCAGCAGGGGGACTGGCTGTTACATAAAGGTGTATAAAGATGTGTGGGGAGGAAGATGGGGAGAAGTGGATTAGGGCAGGTGGTCTTTAGCTATCTGATTATTTATGTTTGATATAATACGCATTTGCTCCAAGTCAGGCTGATGAAAGAGCATGACTATAATTAGAATTTCTCAGTGGGGCTACAGCATTTGGGGGAGAACAGTCCTTTATTCTGGTTACTCCTGGGGAGACCCTTATAGTGGTGGGTATTATTTAGAACTACTCTGCCATGTATTTACCACAGAAGGTGTTAGGCTGTGCCACTTGGCCCGTGCCTGAGCTCATCCCCTCCCGCCATCTGTGTGTGGATCCTCCTCAGTGATTTTGTTTTGTTGCATTAGCTAAGGAATATATGAAGCCACATGTGAGGCCAATGATGCAGGAGCTGTTGCATATCGTCAGAGAGACAGAAAACGATGACGTTACTAATGTCATCCAGAAGATGATATGTGAGTACAGTCAGGAGGTGGCGTCTATTGCGGTCGACATGACCCAACACTTGGTAAGACTGACACAAGTTACTTTATTTTGTTATAGTTTTGGGGATTGAATCCAGGTTCTCTTGCATGTTAGATAAGCATTCTGTCACTTAGCTAATCCCTGGCCCTTTTAAAAGGTTATGGAGGCAGAGCCGTACTAAATTGAAGACTGGGCAGAGCTTTATGTTTGGCATAAGGGGTTTGAATAATCTATATACGATTTGTGGTTCTGTTTTACTTATAACTGACATATTAATATAAAAATATTTGCTCTAGCCAGGTATGGTGGTGCAGGTTTTTGTCCCAGCACTCATGAGGCAGAGGCAGGAGGATCACCATAGTGAGGCCAGCCTGAATGACATAGTGAGAACCTGTCTCAAAACCTCACCAAAACATTTATGTTAATAACTCTGATATTATTGTATGTATTTAGACTTACATGGAATAACATTAGGATAATCTCTGTTCATTGTAGTATTCTGAGATTTCATAATGGTGTGGCTTGATACAAGCCTTCTAAATGTTCTCTTTCTGAAGTTTGAATTTGCAATCTCAATTTTCTTGAGTTTAGGATAATTTCTGTATGACCTCTTTCATGCATTTCTCCATGCTTTCCCCCACATCCTACATTTCCCAATATGGGGTATCAGAGCTGGCCTGTCTAGTTTCCGTACCTTGACTCCCTTCCAGATCTGTTCTTTTTGTTTCATTTTCTAGGTGAGCTTTAACTTCTAAATCGTCTATTACATTTTTCTTTTTAGTGTTGATTTTTGTTTTCTTAGGTTTTTAGTTTTGCTTAGTAACAACCAGAAGTTAAACATTAGGCAGTAGTTGTAATTGTTAGTGGATATTCCACCCTGGTGATTATAAAAGGGAAAGTGGCAATGTTTAAGAGCTGAAAACTTTGAAAAAAAAAAAAAAAAAGAGCTGACAGGGATCTGGTGAGACAGCTCAGTGGACTAAGAATCTACTTAGGCAAGCACAGGGACCCTGGTTTGATCCCTGGCATCACATGCCTCGCTGGCCCCGCCTCCAGGCACGCTGAGCCGGCCACCGATACTGGGCATGGTAGTGCACACCTATAATCCCAGCACTGGGGAGGCTAAAAACAGGAGGATCACTGTGAGTCCGAGCTTTGTAGTGAGACCCTGTAAAATATATAAATTAAGACCTGACAGGTTCTCTGATTGTAAGGAAAAAACATTCATTCAGCAAAGTGCAGAACTTACTGTTCAAGCTTTGTTTACATGCATATGTGTGATTTTTCCTTTTACTAACTTTTATAATGGAAAGGAATTTAACATTATTGTTGAATATTTTTATGTGATTTTCATAGGCTGAGATATTTGGCAAAGTTCTTCAGAGTGATGAATATGAAGAAGTTGAAGACAAAACAGTGATGGCTATGGGAATTTTACATACTATTGATACTATATTAACAGTTGTAGAAGATCATAAAGAGGTGAGATTTCTTTGTTTTATTATGACATAATGGAAATGTTAACTGAACTTCACATGACCTGTGGGCATGGGTTTTACAGGGTTGGCTGCTGCTTTTTTACCTCCCTGTACTGGTGACTACACACAGGGCCTGCACACTGACCTATGCCACCAGCCCTTTTTAGAGACATGGTTGCACTTAAGTTGGCTGAATTGGACTCAAACTTGAGACCCTCTTGCCTTAGTGCCCCTGAGGGCAAGGGTGATGGGTATGCGCCACCATGCCTGCCAAACCTTGACTTTTAAATTGCTACTTACTTTTGGTGCTAGGCTATAAACATTGCCCTCAAATTTCTTTTTGTCTGTGTGTCTTTCTTTTTTTATTTTGAGACAAGATCTCGCTATGTAGCTCAGGCTGATGTTCTCAAATTTTAAAGAAATATTAAAATGATTAAAACTAGGGGAGCTATTCTGTTGTATTTATATAGCATATGCCATTGTGTTGAACAGAGTTCAGTTCTTCATGTCTTCTGCCTAGGTTTTTGTTGTAGCTCAAAAATCAGATGACAATGAGGCAAGTCCAAAAGTTAAAAGAAGCGCTTTATTTTAGCTGGTACCCAGTGGCGGTCTCTATGCAAGGTGCAAAGAGGCATGCAGAGCATTGACAAGGATCAGTATTTAAGCTTGAAAACCGCAGAAACAGGGGAGGGGTGGAGAGGAAGAAGTGACAGGGTCATTAGTTCATGGGGTGGTCCTGTTGGGTGAAGGTGCTGAGTTGGCGAGGTCATACAGAGTTCATTGAGATAAGGTTTGGGGAACAGATATCATAAGACTTGAGTCACAGGGGTGAGGAATTGGGAGGAATTTGAGTTGGCAGTCAAGGGGTGAGGAATTGGGAGGAATTTGAGTTGGCAGTCAAGGGGTGAGGAATTGGGAGGAATTGGGAGGAATTTGAGTTGGCAGTCAAAGGGTGAGGAATTGGGAGGGGTCGGCGCATACAGAACAGGAACTCAGCGAGGTTAGAAGAGCAACAAAATGGAGTCAAATCATTGACTCACTAGTTTGTTCTGTCGGTGCATTGATCAGGTAATTAAATCAATTTGACATGGGTTACCATTGTAATATTAATTAACAGTAGAGTCTGAGTGGGTGGGTCTTTAGAACTCTAGAACAGGCAATATTTTAGGTAGGCAGAATGGTTTTAAGTCGGGAGGAGGCAAAACAAAAGAAACAAGTAATAACATCAATAGAGTATGTCTCATATTGACCTATTTTAAAATTTGAGAATTTATGACAACCAAATTAATATCTTATTATTACTGTCAATGTTTTAAGCAATCTAAGCACAGAAATATGTCAAACTGTTCTGAAACTACTCACTGTTACATCAGAATCAACCAATAAAATGGCCAAATAGTTTAAGGCCGACGTTAGAATGGTCAGGAGTAGGCTCGGGAAACATCTCTTTATTGCTGCTGCTGGTGGCAGTGCTGGAACTGCTGGAAGTGCTGTTGGTGGGCAGGAGCCAGGGACGCCAGAGCGGTGGGCTCTTGGAATCACTGTTGGTGGGCTTTCGTTTTTTTGGTGGACTCCCCACTTTCCACAGGGCAGGAGGCCTAGGAACCCTGTGGTGCTGCATGTAGCGGCCGCAGGCGTTGCATATGGGCTCATTTTTGGCGTTGCGGCGCCATACCGAGGTGGTGTTTGTCTGGCAGTTGGCGCAGGACAGGTCCATTCGGGCGAGTCGCTTGTACTGGAGCTTGATGGGGAGCTGGCTGATGAGGGGCCGGTTGACGCCCCTTTTTTTGTAGTAGATGCTGCAGGCATTGCACAGGTGGTGTCCTGTTTTGTCGCGCCTCCACAGTGAAGTGGACATAGTCCCGCAGTTGACACATTTTTTGTTCATCTGTTGGCTGTAGCGAGTCGATCGCTGTGGGGTTTTAAGACCCCGTGGATGGAAACGAGCACTGGCTGGAGGACCTGGAGGGACTTAATGAGATCTAGGTTAGCAATCTTAGCAATTTTTGTCAAGCGAGGCAAAAGTGGAGGAGGTCTTCCAGACATCATCTTGAAAGGGGAAATTTTAGAGACAAAGGGGACATTTGACCCTTAGGACGGGCACAAGGAAGGAGACTCACCCAGTTTTTGCCAGTTTTAAAGATATTTTATCCTTAAGGGCTCCCAGAAGCAACTGGCGGTATCTGTTGAGAGCCTCCTTACCTTGTTCAGTGTTGGGGTCCCAATCGGGAAAAACAACATCTTGGTGGTCGATGTCTGTGGTTGGTGTCCCGTCAGGTCCGAGTACTGCCTCGTGGGCAGCCGTGCGTATGCAGTCTTGTTCCTCGGAGGTGAAGAGGGTCTGTAGGAGTTGCTGACAATCATCCCAATCCGGGTAATGGGTGTTCATAATTTTAGGAAGACTTGTGAGTAGCAGCTGTTTTAAGAATATTTACTAGTTGGCAGAGTAAGAGTAACCATTATTTATCCAAATTTTATAAGGAATATCTTAAAAGCCCGAACAAGATTATTTAAGCACTTTATAATAAAAGCCTTAAGTTTTAATTTATCTCTTATCCCATTAAATGAAACTTAGGAGAAAAGGTCAAATTTTTTTCATACTTAAATGTTTTGGTCCCATAAGTGTGCTGCTTTTGGAGATAGCTCCTTCTGGTGTCACCCAGAAGTCGGTTCTCTCCATTGTGTCTCAGGTTTAGCCTCCCAAAGGAGACTTGCCTAGAACATTAAGCCGGGACCGGGCTTTTATGTGTGTTCTCCTGGATGGGCATATTCTCTTTGTCTTATCTGACCCAGAGACGGGGTATGTGTCCTTTTCTAGAATGATTTCCCTGTCTTCGGCATTAACAAATGCTCGTTTTCTAAGGGCTTTATTTAGCTGGAACAATCAGAGTTTTTAATTTTTACATGCCTTTTTAAAAAGGAAAGTGCAAAGAGATAGGAAAATTAGGAATAAAGTCAAAGCAAGGAAACTGAAACAGATCAGGTCTGACATTCCCTCTAGCATGTAGAGGGGGATCAGAACCAGTCTATCCCAGTGAAACCTGTCCTCCAAGTCTTTAAGAATGGTTGCTGACCTAATGTCATTTAATTGGCAAAAGGAGTCCTGTTTTTATATAGACATGTAGGTTTTCTAAGTTTAAGCTGGTTAAAGTTTTATTTTACAGAAGTTTACATAAAATCCAATAAGAATCTTACTAACTTTACCCTCTAGTGCTGTTATCTAAAACTGAACAAGGAATACCAGTACATTTAATAATCAGTTCAAATATAGCATATACAAATATAAAACAGTCATAAAATGTCCCATTAAAGAAATATCATGACCTTATAATAATGTTATGTCTTAGCTTAAATTTATCAACATTTTTGACCAATATTTTAATAACGAATTTATCCGGCTGACAAGTTCTAAGAAAAACAGACAAACATAAATAGACCAAACAAAATCAAAGAAAGAAAAACAAACTAGTTAGTACAGACAGACAGACAACAGACAGACAGCACAACTAGACTTACCCAGATGGTTCCAATTGGGACCAAATAAATCCTGTATGAAAGTATATGCCCCTAATTAGATTAAATCTATTGGGGGACTTGGTAAAGGTGGAAATAATTCACTTCACATAAGAGGCAGACTAGTCCAATGGGCCTAAATAAAACTTGTATGAAAGTAAAGTGTATGCCCCCTATGTAGGAGGACTTGGTAGGGGTAGGGGTATCAAGGAAATCTTTATACAAGAGAAACTAGCCTGCATTAGAGAGAGAGGGTCGAGCAGATGTTGCTAGCCTCCTTCAGTTAGAACCTGTAGGAGCAGGGAAGGCATAAATCTCAAAGAGAGATAAAAGAAGAGGTTGCACACATGTGGTTAGCCCCCTACGGATAGGGGTAAAAGAACCTTACCTAAAGAGACCCTGGAGGTCACGGAAACCTCTACATATGACCGAAGTCCATAATCTCTAAAGGCAACCAATTGGCGAAAGGGACACCTAGGTCCGTTCGCCTCCCTGCAATTGAGATCTCCCAAAATCTGACTTGGAGGGCGTCCCACTCCAAGGACTCGGAGACCGGAGTCTGTGAATCAACATCACAACCAAAACCAATTTGAGTACTCACTATGAAACCATCAAGAAATCACCAAGAAACCATTAAGAAATCAAGAAAACAGAATGAAATCAAAGAGGCAAAGTGAAAGGAGAGGCTGACGCGGTGACTGTAGTTCTTTAAAATCAGTAAAGCTAAATCAAAACCAATTTAAGGAAGTAATTTACATTTGAGTTTAAGCTGGCATAAAAATTTAGGTTGAATTTTACTTAC